ATGTAAATTCATCTGCAACGCTTTTTTGGGTAGGAGAGTTAGTTGTGACTGTGACCACTGGAAGAATTGAGCCATAGTTTTCAAAATTGTTTTTATTATAATTATTTGGATTCACCACTGTAACAATAGCATCTTTTTTCAGTATGTAAATCTATTGTATCATCTGCTTTGTCATAGTTGCCTGTAATTAAACTTTGTCTAACTCGTTCTCTCTCAGTTTTCAGCTGTTCTTGCCATTTTGTGTTTAGTCGAACAAGATTTGGTATTGCAGAAACGAACGGTATAAGTTGTTGATTCGTAGAATCGACAAATTCATTTAAAGAAGATTGGCGATGGGCTATAATAAATTTTACATATTTATTTTCAATTTTAATTGACTAATTATCTTAAAGTATTACTTACTATTTATATGGCTAAATCGTCCAACATTTTCGACTGCTTCAATAGTTTCTTCAATATATTTATCTTCTGTTGATCTTTTTGTGGCATTAATCACTGCAGTTGTGTATTCATCTATATTGCCTATTAATTCTAATAAGTCTTCACTATCGTCCATATCATATTCGCCATCAATGTGTTGATTTGTAGGCAAAAGAACGGGATTGATTGTATCATTATCCGTTTGAGCTTCAGTAATAACTTGAAGTAAATGTTCATCGCGATCCTTTTTACATTCATGTAACAGTTGAATATTTTCTATGATTTCCCATGAATGAATAGAAATACGATTTTTTCGAGATTCAAAAGCATCTTCCCATGTTTGATTGGCGCCATAAAGATCCGTAACGGTGCGCCAAGGTACAAAAAGAGTGAGAAGAGCTCGATTGTATCGTTCTCGAGTATCATCACGCTCTCGTCGAGGAATTTGTGGACCATAGAGAATAGGTATATGACGCTCACTGTATTCTATCAAGAGATGTGTTGCTGTTTGTGGATGCTGCTTCTGGAAAGGATAACGTTGATTATGTGGTCGACCTTTTTCGTTAATTTTGTCTGTCACCGATGTCACAGCTTCAGATAAATATTTCAAATTTGTTCTGTTCATTTTTTTCTTATACAGTGTGCTGACAAAGTCGTATAAACACATATCATTGAGAATATCGGAGCGATATTGATAATCAATTCTTGTATTAACGAGTACATATTTTTTATCGTTTTCAGTTGATTGGATTTGAAAATGTTCTTCGTTATTGTTTTCATCATCAATAGCTTCATCATCATATTCATCATCGTCAATTGCATCTGAATAAAAAAAAAAGACAATATATATTGATTATTATTTAATGATGAGTTTTCATTTCAAGCAATCTTCACTATTTCTCATTCAGATGTGTAGTAGAAATAACAGTTAGAATATTTTTCTATTGTACAGTTTAAGATTTGAGTAACATCATATAGAACGTTTCGACGACACAAAGATGAGAGAAGAGAAAAAGATATCGTACTGGTTCTCTGTATGACATCTTCAGGAAAAAAAAATATATATAATGAATACCACTATTACAGGTCTAAGGATGGCAAACTATATTTTCGATAAATAAAATAACGATTAACTTAATTTTTAGAGATAAGTTCCTCTCACATCTTTCTTCCTCTTTTCATACTGTTTTATCATTAGTCCTTTTATTATAATTACTACAAATGCATTCAATGAAGAAACATAGTGACCTTGCATTGAACCTTTGAGTTTTTGTTTGGAGTGTATTTCATTCAATTGTGTTTGTAAATACCGTTCGGTCTGAATTAAATAAAGACCTTGAAACTTATGTGTTGTGTAATGATCATCCCCATTCATGAGATATGAAGCAACTTGAACTCCAGATAGCTCTTGTTGAGAAGCAAGTGTATTGTAACATCGTACAACGAGTTTCCGTGATTTTTCAATTGCATCTGTTTTGTCTGTTTGATTCGTGTACTTTCACCTTTTCATGATCACATTCAGGTGCACTTAATAAACAAAGATAGTTACCTTTCAATGGATCATTCCATATAGTTATGACGACGACTATATTAACGGTTTCAAGTAAAATTGTAATAGTCTTTCCCTACTCTATTTTTCTTTTTGATTCCTCGCAACCGAAGTAGAAGTCTTCCACATTGATATCAATAATTTTAAAAATACAGCGTTTGTTTCGATAACACTTTGCAAAAGATCCAACTAACAATGAATATATTGCAATAGTCTTCATTAGTAGACCTCAAGCCATCATTAATAATAATCGGTGCAAGGCTCTAAAATAAGTTAAGCATTGATATATAAAAAAAACAAAAAAAATCTATTTCATCATTTCATATTTCTCTGCCACCTTCTATCACTTTAGAAAAAAAAATTACACTAAATTTTACTTGAATTAGATACAAAGATATATTTCGAATTTTACACTATACATTTTCATGTGTATGACTTTTTTCTGTAGAGAAAATGGTTTCTTGTTGTGTACTATTCTTCTCTCAGATTGGCTTGGGCACATCAATGCAGAAAAAATATATGTCGCAATTAAGTTTAGGTTCTGAAAAAATGCCTCAAATGTTCGTCACAGATGAAGACGACACACATTTCAATTTTCATGTCATCTTCGGTCTCTCTCAATTAGTCCAACCTTAGAGATATTATTTAAATCCCTTTCGATAATTATAGAATAGCGATCAGCAACATTTATCTTCTGAATGCATAGCAAAGATCAAGGGGGAAACGGTGGATTTTGGATTTTCGGATTTTTTTTGGATTTTTGGATTTTCTTTGGATTTTTTGGATTTCTTTTGGATTTTCGGATTTTGAAAATCCCCAATATCCACCAGCAATGTCCTCTTGAAAATAAAGGAATTTCGAGCTGAAATTTTTATCATATGTAGGTCTTGTGGTTCTTAGAATATTCTAAAAGTTTCAGCGCAAACGGATATTTTCTCCTGAAGATAATGCGATCGCAAGAAATACTCATATTTCGCAGCACGGTCAGAAAATCCACTTTTCTTGAAAGTTGATTATCTTAAGAAGGAAACATTCGTTTACATTGAAACTATCAGGATATTTTAAGGACCACAAGACCTACATATGATAAAAATTTCAGATCGAAATTCCTTCATCTACAAGAGGACATTGCTGGTGGATTTTGGGATTTTTTTGGGGATTTTTGGGATTTTCTGGAGTTTTTTCGGATTTTTCATGGATTGGCAATCCCAAAAATCCACTGTTTCCCCCTTGGCAAAGACATACTAATGTGAACGAAAATGTGGCAAGACACACCCAAAATTTTTACTAAATGATCTAGAGAAAGTAAACATACTATGAAAATTACCGATAACGTTAAATGCGACTCAACATTGTTTTCTTGATTACTAGGTTACAAGAAACAAAAGATAGAATATTCGCCATAAATCGGATTATTCTTTTCACTTCTACACCACTAAATCATCGACTTAAGTCAAATCAACAAATTACATTTGTGATTCTCTGTTATATTTTAAAGGTAACTAGATTCAATAGAGTTTGGATTTACCAAAGCATTTGTGAAATAAACAACTTTTTCCAAAACAGCTATAACCGCATTTATCACGATTCTAACAAAAAATTATAATAAAACTGTTGAATATCTTACCATCATGTCCTTCTTTCTCTACTATTAGACGAAAATTTCAATGAGGATATATCATAATGCCTGCCGGTATCGTCAAAATAACTACACCTCTTTAGCTACAAACAACGAATTCATATTTTCCTCAAATCCAGATCCTAAAAGGTTTCACTGACGCGAGTTGCCCTATACAAAGTGTCACCAGTTAGAAACTCAGCTACAAACAAGCCTCATCCGTGAAAACCTAGTTATAAAACAGCTCATTGAGGAAGAACTTATCGCATACGTCGGATTAACTGAATTTTCAGTTTGAAAAATAGAATTGGTGAAAAGCCCAATATTAAAAGCCCGAGCACCAAACACTTAGCCAAGGTTTTTTTAATGACGTTTCATCGTTCACTTTGACAATAATAGACAAAAATTTATTTTATTTCATATAACTCTTCCTACACCTGAGGAAATATTATTATTTTCTCAAAAAAATCAATTCAAAATTTTGAGAAACTGACTTCAGATTCGGATTCTCCGACCCCGATTTACTTTCGTGAACCTTTAAAAGATATCGCTGATCGGATGTTTTTTTGACCCCGATGTTCTTTTGACCCTTCCACAAACCCACACACACACAATCCATTTTTTTTCATATGACCCTCCCTACAGTCGAGGGAATTACATTATTATTAAATAAATATCCAAATAGAATTATCGAAGATGAATTTAAAAATTTATTATTAAAATATAATATTCATCAGCAGTTAGATTTTAATAATTACAATATATACGAAGAAAAAGTTATTAACAATTGCAAAAAAGAAAATTTCCAATAAATTATGTCAAAATAATATTTGTTCATTTTACATATTGTTGGAACATGAAAAGTTTTCCTGTCAAGTTTCATTATCTTTGGAATAAATACTTTGGCGAATCACCCATGAATGAAATTACACCCATATTACGCACTAGAAATGTTGATAACTTTCAAAGACGTTTAGTAAATACAAAGTCAAGACAGCTGAAATAAAAAAATAAAAAATAAATAAATTAAATATAATCAAATAAATATATAAAGGGTGTTCCGGAAGTTCTGAAACGATTTTAAAATTCACCGTTCTCGCATTCAACAAACGCAAACTCTTTGAAACTTTGGCCTATTATTGCACATATGTAGTGCCACATAACTACAAAGTTTGAGGTCTATAGATTGTACTATAGAGGAGAACCTGTAACAACACTATGATGTACTACTTTTTAAATTTTCCTGTATTCCGGGTCTACCAAAATATCTATATTTCGGCTTAGCTAGATGATAAAATTTTGACTTTTCTTTTATAAGATGCACCGTGAGAAGCTCTACAAAAATTATAATAACAAATCCCTATTGACTTGTGTTAATGGTTTCTGCCATACATAAAGTGAAAAACCTACATGATAGTACTACCTCTCACCATATTGTGCGTATTAAAAAAATGTTTGGAAGACCTTTTTGTTTTGCATGTATCTCAGCTTGAGAAAATGATAAAATCTTGATTTGTTTTTCAAAAGATACACCGTCGGAAGCTTTACAAAAGCTGCATAAACAAATTCCTATTGGAAAGCTAAAAAGTCTTCCAAACCTTTTTTTATTACGCACAATATGGTGAGAAGTAGTACTACCATGTAGGTTTTTCATTTTGAGTATGGCAGAAACCATTAACACAAGTCAATAGGGATTTGTTATTGCAGTTTTTGTAGAGCTTTTCACGGCGCATCTTTTAAAGAAAAATTCAAGATTTTTTCATTTACCTAAGCGAAGATATAGACGAAATAAAAAAATGTTGCATACCCCGAAGATGACCAGGAAAATTTTAAAAATAGTACATGTCAGTGTTGTTACAGTTTCTCATCCATAGTACAACCTATAGACCTCAAGCTTTGTATTTATGCAGTACTACATATGTAAAACAATCTACCAAAGTTTCAACGAATTTTCTTTTGTAGAATGCGAGAACGGTGAATTTTAAAATCTTTTCAGAACTTTCGGAACACCCTTTATGTATTTATAAAACATTTTTCATTAAACCATTCAAAAGAAGACCAGCTTATTCTTATATTTTTATATTTCTATGCTTTTATTATATTCAAATTGAACAATTCTAACATATGGCTATTAATTTTAACCAACAGAAAACAAAATATATTTATGTCACTAGCTCCCAAAAATTTATTCTATTCAAATATAAAAAGTTCTTTTAGGAGTCCATTTTAAATATTGCCTTCTAACTCTTGTCCATAATAATTGTTACAGATTTTCTTAACTTCTTAAAAATTAAAAATTAAAAATCAAGAAATCTCTAACAAATTAAATTTGACAATATGTACAAAGCTATAATATAGCAAGACACCCGCCAACAACTATTAATTTCATCCAGTTTATACTAATATTTAAGAAACTATAGTACAACATCGTCTTCATAATTGGTCTTAATATAATCAAGCTACGGACAGACACGCTAACGATTAATTTCATCCAAATTGTATTCTATTAAAATAGCCATTCATGAACATTTCTCGTCACATTTTCCAAACGAAAAAGTTCCTAAAAAGTTAACATTCAAAAAGAAGTTCTAAATAGGATTTAAAATATTATTCAAAAGTTCTGTTTCAAAAATTTGAAGAAGGTTGAAATAAGATTCAAAATATTATTCAAAAAATTCTGTTCCAATCCAGAAATTGGACAATTTAAGAATCGGACAATCTAAATATATGGACAGCCGTTTTAGCCAACAGAAAATTTAATTAACATATGTCGCTAGTTGATCAGTTGAAGATAACCAAATAAATTCTAACTCAAAACAATTCTAATTATTATATGTAATATAATAAATTAGAGATCTTCGACAACCCCGCGGTAACAATTAAAGCTAAAAATAAAATCATCAAAACTCTATTTTGATCTTGAATATTTTATCGTTCAAATCATTCAAAACTATATTTTATCTATATCCAGCTCTTAAATATAATATTATGTTTATGACTCAAAGCTCTACTTTGATCTGGAATATGATATTATCTTCATCCGGATCTTAAATATGATTTTATGTGTATTATTTAAAATTCTATTTTAATTTTAAATATAATATTATGAATATGACTGTACATCCAAAATATTATTCCCAATGTTGATATAGAATATTCATGAGCCACAATCAACAATTATATTTCTTCATTTGATTATATAAATAAC